GCTGATTTAGCCCCTTCATGAGGTCCAAAATGGGTCCATTTGGTTTTGGGACTCTAAACAGGTTTGAATAAAGCCCCTAAAACCTTTCTCCCGCTGGAACCTCCATGATCACTCCTTGAGCCAACAAGCAACCGAGCGCCTGAAATAAAGCTATTCTTTTCTCTGGATTTGTAGGTACATTTAATACCCGAAGGGAAATACCTGAAATTCTAGTTTGTACCCCCGGAGAAATCGTGGAACTGACCCATTTGTCTTGGATTAGATTCCTCCATGCAGCCACAAAATTCAAAAGCCTTCCCCCCACCCAAACTAGTGGGGGTGCTCCTTCATAGGGAGGCAGACTTTGGATCTGTCTTAGATTACTTTTGCACCCAGGGCCTCCTTGGGTTTTCATTCTGAAATCTACCTCTGGAGGCTGGGACCTGTGTGTGGCGAAACGACTGCCTGGTAGATGAGGGACCAGCAACCGAAGCCCCTGACACTTTAAAAGAAGGGCGTTGGGATTTCCTCTTAGAAGATAGAAGAGTACTTTTACCCCTGAAATCTTTTGGATATATTTGTCCAAATCTTCCCCAAACAGCCGTTCCCCATAAAAGGGACAAGAAAAACAATTGCTGAATTGAATCCTTAACAGCATCAACAGCGAAACACAAAGCATGAGGAACATCCTCCAAATCCTCAGCCGAGCATTCCCCCAGCAACGATGGTCTTCCAATCCATTTGCTTGACATGGTCAGTAAGGCTATGGCAAAAGCCAATAGCTGCCACAGCTGGCTGTGCAGCAAAACCTGCCTGGGAGAAGGAGGGCTTAAGGATAGACTCCAGCTTCTTATCCGCTGGGTCCTTGAAAACCTGTACATCCATCCACAGGACATGTTAAAGATTTTTTCAGGGATTAAACCAGCTGCATTCACTACAGGCAACCCCCATTTCTTAACAAACGTTTGTTCCATGGAGTACAAAACAGAAAACTTATTTGGTGGAACAAAAACCCTGTCTGGGTGATCCCAGGTCAGCATACATAATTTGCTCCAGAAGAGGATGCACCGGAAAGGCCTGAGTACTCTGTGAAGGCTTCAAAGAGCCCAGGGAAGAATAAGTAACCTCAGAGGTTTCTATCAGAGGTAGCTTGAATCCAGACCGTACCATATCAGTGAGGTCATAGACTAAAAATCTATGCGACAGTGAGGCTGCTTCTCCTCAGACAGAAATTCTACTGCCTGACTTTCCCCCAGCTCTTCCTCATCCTCAGGCTCCACCCATTCCTGCTCCAGGATTGGTGGTTCTAGTGACAGGGATCTATCCCGCTTCTTGATCCCCTGAGAAACTGATGTAATCATCCCAGTGATCTTATCTTCTAAACTTCATAAGGCTGAAGCAAGATCATCCTTGGTTACATATGCTGAGGCAGAAGCCTCAGTAGTAGCCACAATGCCAGACAGACACAGCGGCTCAGACTACCTAGTTGCTTCTCGCCTGTCAGGAGAGGATATTACGGCGGACTTTCGGCTAGGTTCCTCAGGACCTGGTGGAAGTACATTGGTGCTCTTTACTGCTGCACCTCCCCCATTCCGCTTTCTGGAAAATATTACTTCAGATAGCGCAAACCTGTGCACCTCCACTATTAGCACAGATCACAATGATACAGCTTTGCAAGTAGTGTGCTGAAAAAACACTCAATGCAAATGCTGCCTAAGAGCCACCTAGGGTGGCTCCTGACTGATTGGTCCACACTTCCCCCTCAGGGGAGTATTCACGTGCCGCTACTGAATAGCCCACTCTGTGTCACGGCCACAGGAGATTCCTCTGCAGCAGCAGTCCTGGTCTCCAGATAAACAAAATATGGCCAACTTCCGTTTCCGGCTGCACTCTCTCTAGTGGCCAAAAACAAAAAGAGCAAGTAAATCTCAGGAACAACAGTGAGCACTGCCCCTGGTGGAAACTCAATCACAACACTTCTCCCTTTGCCTCCAAATTAGAGATGACTTTGTTTTTTTTTACAGAGAAAAAAAAAAGGAGATATCTTACCAGTCCTGCCGCAGGTCCCTGACTTCCGTCAGGCACCAACCTTCACCACATCATGGTAGGCATTGTCATACAGACCTTCAAGTCCACCTTGGACTCGTATAGCACCCCACTGGAAGTGCCTTGGTCATATTTAAAACTGCCAGAGTTCCATCCGTGCGGGGTCCAGCACCGTAAGGCTGCATTACAGGCAAAACCTCGAGGATTCTTCTCCTTATCCAGCGAGGCTCGGGTCCCATCCATTTTAGCACATAGCCTTCCACATGGATCCGATTAAAGATCCTGATTCTCCAATGGAACCGTTGACCATCCATCTTACAGACACTGGCAGGAAAAATGAGGTACTTCCTGTATAGGAGAGGTTATATAGGGGAGGACCTCCTCTCCGATTTGTCAGTGTCCATTTACCTATAGGTGGCCTATAACCCACATAGTCATGAATAGCCTGCTCTGAATCCCACGATGTATGATAAAGAAAAAGTGTTAGCTGGAGTTTGGCTTTAGGCTTTAATTTGCTAGTAACGTCCATCTAAATCTACTAGTATACTTAACACTACCCTCTCCAGACGAAGATGTTGTGCAAGGATGTCTATGTTGCTCCACCACAGACAGAGAGAAAAAAAACAAAATAGCATCCACAACATCTCAGGACTGGTAAGCTGCAATTTATTACACATTTCTTTGGAAATGTTTTATGTGTGAGGATCCCCAATGGGCTACTCACATACTTAATATAATAAGGAATGGTATTATACATATCCAGAATGCAGCAACTATAATTGAGGCACTGACTAGGTTTTCCCGGTTGTGTCTCTGCAGCAGAAGAATCGATAGCGGAAGTACATCAGCCGTGAGGCGTGTTGCAACATGTCATCATGCTGAAACTAAGTCCAGATGGTGAAAATAACCCACAAAGTTTAAAATGACTTACAGCACAGCTGAAAACAAGCATTACAAGGAGTAGCACAAGTGAATAATTCCTCAGTCCTCTGTATCCACACTGTATGCTAAGCACTGCAAATTGTCTGTCAATAGTAACGAACCTATCCTAAAACACAGGGATAATGCAGGAAACCAATTTCAAATTACTTGCAAGATGGTACGCAGTCCCTAAAACAACAGCTTTAATATACCCTACCTACAACATCAGACAGGTGCTAGAGAGGCTGTGGCTTATAAGGATCCCATCTTCACTTGTGGTAGGATTGTCCCAAAATCAGACCATTCTGGATCACAAAACTTACCACTGGTCAGCAGCATGACAACCCAATATAGTGCTTATTACATGCTACCACTGTACTTCTATTAAGACCTATAAGAGATTAATGCCGTTAAAAAGTTTAATCCCCCTATATTGGCAGCAACACTAATACCCTCAATCAATGATTGGACTGCAAAAGTTAATTCCATCATGGAGGTTGTCAGTACCAAACTGCGCGGGGTCCTGTATCTGGAGGGTCCAGTGCCAAGTGGCTGCATTACAGCCAATCCCAACTATAAAACATCCAGTTTGTTGATGCAGGGCCTGGGTACCAACCATTTTAGCATGCCAGCTGTAGGAATGGATCCAACTACCAAACTCTTGATCCTTACATGTTGAAAACATGGTATCGTTATGTAGAGAACTGTATCTCAGTGAACATTCTCTTACAGATACTGATGAAAAAACTGAGGTACTTCCTGTATGGGTGGGGGGGTGGGGGTTATATAGGGAAGGACTTCCTGTCTGTTTCTGCCAGTGTCCATTCCCCTCTAGGTGGTACATAACCCAAGTAGTCATGATTTATAGCCTGTTTTGATGTATGAAAAAGAAATAAAAGATTATATAAAAAAAATAAAAATACAGGGAAACCCTGTCTTACCTTATCCACATCATTAGGCCCCTTGGGGGTTCAGGCTTCTCCCATCACAGTGGGCATACCCTCCCCAAAGGGATTCTCAGGGTCTGGAAACAATAGTAACAGAACACGGCCCTGGACACACATAGCTAACTACAGACGTTGCACTTTGTGCCAAAATGCCTACCACAGGATCCAGTGGCCAAAACAAAAATTATAGGCAAGCCCATACAGTGGGGTCAACACTTAAGGGGTACTGATCTGGATACTGCTAAATAATGTAGGGCAATAAGCAGTCAGAAAAAGCTTCTTTAAAGGAGAAGAGATCCGTCATCTAATGACAACAGCAATAAAAAAAAAAAAAAAAGTTATAGAAGCGTATAGTAAGAGCGGGTGTAGCAAAGTTTTTTTTGCCAGCATCCAAGCACCTGAATGTAGCCTGCATATAAAGGTAGCCATAGATGGATGAAACTTTGGTATGTTCAGCAAGGGCTAGCCAAATTTCCATCCATCTATGGCTGTTCCCATAGGAGAGGGAGTTGATTTAGTGACCAACTATTGACCGACTCCTACCAAATGGGACTGCAGGAAAATCTGAGCTCGATCAGTGTATGCAGCCATATGGCTGCAGTGCTGATCAATGTATTCTGGCAGCGAAGGAGTCCCACTGTTGGAATACAATAGCGCAGCGGGGAGGCTTTCCCCATCCACTTTGAATATGTGGGTGGGAAAAATTCCTTCATTTTTTTTTTCTCCCGATCAGCACACTGGCTTAAAAAAAAAAAAAAAGAATGATGTATGGCATAAATCATGGCATATGATTACAAAATTTGTGTCCTTTTACATTCCCCTCATTATTACTAATATTCAACTGCTTCTGACCATTACCATATTTAATAGGTTGCAGCGTTTCATCTGCATGCGTGTCAAAGTGGTCACATGACTGAAAACCACTCTGACTGGTCCTGATCACTAATGGCAGTCAGGTTTGAGAGTGAGCAGCCCTGCACAGAGTGTTGGCTGCTGCCTTTTAAGGGGAGGATTTTTTTATTAAAGTGTCCTTTGCGGAGCTATCATGTTAGGAAAGGGTTAAACAAAAAAAAAAAAAAAAAGGGTTAAACAAAAAACTGCACTTACAGTCATTGGGTGATCAGCAGAATCCAAAATGTCCTCCATAATTTCATCAGCATACTCCTTTCTTTGTTGAAGAGAGCTTTTCTTTTTAAACCCAGTAAGGTTGATGAGATGGATCTTTAGCCAATTTAAACCATTTGGCCCGAGTGGGTGGCCTTCAGCAAACACTAGCAAAGCCCGAGTTACATCACTACCCAAATGATTAAAATACGGAGGACAGGGGTAGGTGCGACCTCGGAAATCCATGTTGTGTGGGAACCAGAATGTCTGGTCTCGCAAATGATTGGCAATAGACAGCTTATAAAGCGCATCCATTCGCAGGCTAAACATCTCAGCAGTTTTCTTTCTGCACTGCACCAGCATTTTTTGATGTGCATGTTTTTCCCTTGAGCTTAGCATCCCAGGTAATGGCACTGAAAGCACAGGAGCTTCAGAAAGAGGTGGTGGAATGTCCAGCTTCTCATTACCTTTATCATTGAAGATGGACACAATAATGTCCAGAATGGGCTTGTTAACGCGCCAAGCACATGCCCCAAGTTGATTAAGTGAATCAAAAACTGGAAAAAGTTGCCCTGAAGGACATTTTTCCAACAGCAGCTGATGCTGCACTACTCCCTCATTACAGCGCATAAATTGTGCAGGAGACAATAAATAGGGACCAAATTGAGGAGAAAGCCAGGGCAATGGGGGACACCTCATTGGCATAACAGCAGCTTCAAAAGTCAGAAGTTTTTCTTCTGCATCCAGAAGGATTTGGCTGTACATTGGGTGTGGCTTTATAAGCCCAATCTGTAAATATAAATATTTGGTATGTCAAGAGTGCATTATGAAGGACATAGGTCAGAAGTCAAGATGCCTGTAACAGTAAAGTGACACAATACAGTAAAGCTTAGAAAATGAGGGGCTACATAAAAACACAACATTAATCTTGAATATTTCAATTTTTTTTCTTTTGTGACCTAAAAATTCAAAATACACACACGCTCCACAAAACATTTATGAAGGACAGCATAGCAACCTCTCGCTATGCCACATGCACATGATATGATGAACAACTGATGAATTTTAGAATTACTTACAACTATACCATACAGCAGCCAACCAATAATTAGCTAGTGATTGCAAATATACCCACCTGTTGTATGCTACGAAAGGAATACATGTGGTAAAGCACTGGGATAAGTTTTGGATCACTGCGAGGACGTAACAAGTTATTTTTTAGTTTTACTGTCTTAACCATTAAATCTACTAGGTGGGTGCCCAATTGCAGCAACAGGAACCGTGGCCAAGGAGAATGGAGTCTTGAAACACATGGGCCTCCAAAAGCTTCATATTCCACATTTTCCCACAATTCTCGAGGAAGAAGGCCAGAAACCTGCATGCAAGTAGGCAGAGGAAAAAAAAAAAAAAAAAATGAATAATATAGCAACCATAAAACAGTCAGTTATATAAAAGCTATTAAATCCTTATCTCATTTTTGTCTATTTTCCAGTATATTACTAATTTTATGCTCAGTTCAAGTCAGTCTTACCTTTCCATCCTTGGATAGCAACTTGCAATATTCCTTGTACAATAACCGGATCCTATCCATGTTATCGCCCTGCAACTGCTGCCGAATGAAAAACCTATTGTAGATTTTCATGCCAAGTTCCCGAGAAATCATATAGAACGATTCTCCTGCAGGTGGCAGCTGGGTCAATGTCTATAGAAGAAAATAAATATAAAAACAAGGGTCTATACATAACAGCATATATAACATCAGAAACATCCATGGCTTTATGTTTAGATGTTAAAAAAAAAAAACTACAACAAAAATATAAATGTAACTATTGACAATAAACCAATGTTGTTTTATTTCCCACATTTATAAAGCACTGTCATATCACATAGCACTTGACATCTACATCAAGAGCTGGGCTTCTGAGGTTATTCAGAATTCATTTGATCTGCAGCTGACCTCCTTCTGACCTGTATTTCACCTGCTTCAAGTGGGTTTTGCATTCCCATAGATTTCTATGGGAATACAAATCCTGTCAAATGCAAACAAAAGCCTGTCAAAGCAAGCCTTACTTACAGAATCTTGAAATACACACAAACACCATCCAGACAGTATTTAAATTGTGATAACACTACACCCAGTTAGGCTTGGTTCACATTGCTGTGACATGTGAAACCCCAAGTTACATGACTTGTGAAGTCCTATGTTAGTCAGTGAGAGCTGTCTTAATTAGCACTACTGAAATTGCTCCGACTTTAGAAAAGGTTCCTGTACAATTTCAAAGTGCCTTCCATCCGAATTGTGCCCATAGACTTTAATGGAAGTCGCCTCCAAGTCAGATCTTCACCTATATTGATGTGATTTGGATCTGACATTACAGGAAGATTACACAGGCATTGACTGAAAGTTGCCTCAGAGTTGCTTCAAAGCAGTACTCACAGTGCGACTTTGCTAGGCAACCTAAGTCATGCAACTTTCAGGTTGCAGTAGTGTGAACCGAGACTTAGTGTGAAATTGGTATCAATAAAAACATAAAAGTAAGTCCCCTTTCACACTGACGGACCGGTCGGGTCCACGAGTCCGTTTTTCAGGCAGACCCGATCAGACGCTCCAGTCTCCTCTATGGAGCAGCAGGTGTAAAAAAACATGTTCATTTACACCAGCCTACATCCAATCCTATCCACTAAAAAAGAGACGAATGGGGATCCATTCCCCATCCATCTGGTGGAATGGTTCGGATGGCAGTCGGGGGTAATCAGACAGGTGGTCCGTTTACATTCGACTGCCCATGGAGGACAATGGGCTGTGCCCGTTCTGCATAAGTGGAGCGGCATAATCTGACTATAGTGACAACTGTAATCGGCATTAGCTGTGTTTTACCAATGAAAATTACTGATGGAAGTTTATGAGAATTGAGAAGTTATTCAATGGTTATATCACAAAGCTATTAGAGATGTAGTGTTACTAATGCACTTTATAAATTTGAGTGTTTTAATTTAGGATCTTTCTGCATGGAACAGTAATGTTACTACTCTATTAATATATTAATAGTAAAAAGGTCCAGTCCAGCATGTAGGCCCTTTACAAAATAATCTAGAGTGGGTGACTGGGGACAAAGAGAAGGCAAATCTATTTAATACCTGCTTCAGTTCTGTGTATACAAAGGAGCATGGGGGAACTCTTGTCCATAATGGGCATGTTATTGACACAGCTCCAGATGACCTGATATGATCCAAAAATATTTAGACAGTATAAAGGTGAATAAAGCACCTGGACCAGATGGCATACACCCACAGGACCTTAACAAATTGAGCTCTGTCATTTCAAAGCCATTGTTTATAATTTTTAGGGACTCTTTAATGACTGGCATAGTGCCACTGGATTGGCGCAAGGTCAATGTGGTGCCAATATTTAAAAAGGGGTCAAAATCTTTACCAAGTAATTATAGACCTGTTAGTTTTAACTTCTATAGTTGGGAAGATATTGGAGAGTTTAATAAAAGAACACAGATGAGTTCTTGCTGGAAAAAAATATTTTAAGCAACAGACAGCATGGATTCATGAAAGACAGAAGTTGTCAAACAAATCTGATTTCTTTTTATGAGGAGGAGAGCAAAACCTTGGACAGAGGGGTGGCAGTGGACGTGGTATACTTGGATTTTGCAAAAGGGTTTGACACAGTTCCCCACACATGGCTAATGTGCAAGGTAAAGTCTACGGGCTTGGAAAAATCTGTATGTAAATGGGTAGAACACTGGCTAAAAGATCGTATTCAAAGAATAGTGGTTAATGATTCATACTCTGAATGGTCTAGGGTTGTCAGTGGTGTACCCCAAGGTTCAGTGTTGGACCCTTACTTTTTAATATATTTATAAACGATATAGGGTCTGGGATTAGAAATCCCATTTCAGTCTTTGCAGATGACACCAAGCTGTGCAGTGGAATAAACGTCCTTACAGGATGTCTTCAACTTACAAGCCGACCTCAATGCACTGTTTAATTGGGCAACTATGTGGCAAATGAGGTTTAATGTTGATAAATGTAAGGTTATGCACTTGGGGGCTAAGAATATGTATGCATCATACATACTAGGGGGGGGTACAACTGGGGGAATCAATGGTGCAGAAGGATCTGGGAATTCTGGTAGATAACAAGCTTAATAATGGCATGCAATGCCAAGCTGCGGTTTCTAAAGCGAGCAAAATCCTCTCTTGTATTAAAGAAGGTATAGACTCCAGAGAGAAAGATATAGTACCCCTGTACAAATCATAGTAATGCCTCATCTGGAATATGCAGTTCAGTTTTGGGCAGGAAGGAATTTTTTTTCCAGCAGGAGCAAATTGGATCATGCTTTGCTGGGGTTTTTTTGCCTTCCTCTGGATCAACTGTGGGTATAGGATAATAACTTTTTTTTTTTTCTATGGTTGAACTGGATCGATTTATGTCTTTCGTCAGCCAGATATATATATATATATATATATATATATATATATATATATATATATATATAGGCCCTGCCCTATTGGAATTTTACTCCTCCCTATTGAGCAGAGAAAAACCTCATTTGCAATTTCAACATTCAACAGTCATTCCCAAACCGGACAAACGACCCCAGCTAACTACAGGCCCATAGCATTATTAAACACGGATACATTTTTTTGAAGCTCTTAGCAAATCGTTTGACTCCTTTGCTTCCCAAAATCATCATCCATTACGATCAGGTGGGATTTGTCTTGGCGAGACAGGCACGGGATAACACTAGACGTACTATCAATTTAGTTGACCTTCTTCACGGCTCACGAACACAGGCACTATTGCTATGTTTAGATGCCCAGAAGGCATTTGACCTGTTGGGATGGCCTTATATGTTTGGCACTGTATTCACGGCCTACAGCACAGGTTAAGCTTCCCAATGCCACATCCCTCCTAGATTATAAGCTCCAAGGAGCAGGGCCCTCCTATCCCTCTTGTATTGAACTGTATTGTTGCTGTATTGTCTCCCATTATATTGTAAAGCGCTGAGCAAACTGTTGGCGCTATATAAATCCTGTATAATAATAATAACATCCGATACTTTTCCCATGCTCAACGGCACTAGACAGGGATGCCCACTCCTATTTGTGTTATGTCTTGAACCACTATCAGTAGTGATCAGAGCACATCCTGACATAGCGGGAGTGACTGTGAGAGGGAAAGAATATAAAACGGACGTTCTATTGACTATAACTAAGCCTCACTTGTCATTACCGGCATTGCATAAACTTTTACAAACCTTTAGTGATTTATCTGGCTCTAAAATAAACACTTCAAAGACAGAAGCTATGCCCCTTAATAGCCCATCCCAAGATTTCTCACTGCTCCAACAAAATTACTCATACCACTGGTGCATGTCATCTATTAAATTATTATTATACAGGATTTATATAGTGCCAACAGTTTGCTCAGCACTTCACAATATAACGGGAGACAATACAGCAAAAATACAGTTCAATACAAGAGGGTAAGGAGGGCCCTGCTCCTTGGAGCTTACAATCTAAGAGGGAGGGGCTAGTGGTACAAAAGGTAGTAACTGTAGGGAATAGATAGCAACTATAGGTACCTTGGTACTCATATACAGTGGGGCAAAAAAGTATTTAGTCAGCCACCAATTGTGCAAGTTCTCCCACTTAAAAAGATGAGAGGCCTGTAATTGGCATCATAGGTAGACCTCAACTATGAGAGACAAAATGAGAAAAAAAATCCAGACAATCACATTGGCTGATTTGGAAAGAATTTATGTGCAAATTATGGTGGAAAATAAGTATTTGGTCACCTACAAACAAGCAAGATTTCTGGCTCTCACAGACCTGTACCTTCTTCTTTAAGAGGCTCCTCTGTCCTGCACTCATTACCTGTATCAATGGCACCTGTTTGAGGTTGTGGACAGGTGTCTTTTATACTGATAAGTTCAAACAGTCACACTCCAAACTCCACTATGGTGAAGACCAAAGAGCTGTCGAAGGACACCAGAAACAAAACTGTAGACCTGCACCAGGCTGGGAAGACTGAATCTGCAATAGGCAAGCAGCTTGGTGTGAACAAATCAACTGTGGGAGCAATTATTAGAAAATGGAAGACATACAAGACCACTGATAATCTCCCACGATCTCACCCCGTGGGGTCAAAATGATCACAAGAACGGTGAGCAAAAATCCCAGGACCACACGGGGGGGGACCTAGTGAATGACCTGCAGAGAGCTGGGACCAACGTAACAAAGGCTACCATCAGTAATACACTACGACGCCAGGGACTCAGATCCTGCAGTGCCAGACGTGTCCCCCTGCTTAAGCCAGTACATGTCCGGGCCCGTCTGAAGTTTGCTAGAGAGCATTTGGATGATCCAGAAGAGGATTGGGAGAATGTCATATGGTCAGATGAAACCAAAATAGAACTGTTTGGTAGAAACACAACTCGTCGTGTTTGGAGGAGAGAGAATGCTGAGTTGCATCCAAAGAACACCATACCTACTGTGAAGCATGGGGGTGGCAACATCATGCTTTGGGGCTGTTTCTACGCAAAGGGACCAGGACGACTGATCCATGTACAGAACAGAATGAATGGGGCCATGTATCGTGAGATTTTGAGTGCAAACCTCCTTCCATCAGCAAGGGCATTGAAGATGAAACGTGGCTGGGTCTTCCAACATGACAATGATCCCAAACATA